TGGGAGAACTTGCACAATTGGTGGCTGACTAAATACTTTTTTGCCCCACTGTACATATAGGATTGGGAAGATTTGGCTTGGGGCAGCAAAAAGAATTCAGGAATGTTAGTGGATGACCAGGATCTAGGGATATTATTAGGCCACCGGTGAACATGAGCTATCAGTATAACACCACAGCTAAAAAGATAAATCAAATCTTGGGCTGCATTTTCAGAAGCATTGCATCCAAATCACAGAAGATAATGGCTGGTTATGTACTTGGAGTACAATGTCCAGTTCTGGGAACCACACTTTAAAAGAGATTCACCGTTATTATTCTCTCCTTTTTCTGTATTCCTTGTCTTTTGAGTGTGCCTGTCTTTAAAAAAAAATAGTAAGGTTTGTTTATAATAAAACTACAGTACAAAAGAGAAACATAAACACCTCTATCATTTGAACTAAATCACTGCACAGGAAACACATGAGAGTTTAGTGGTAAACTAGATTTTTTGCCAACTCATAACTTTAACAAAATTATGCCATTGCTCATAAAGATTACTGCTATATTACTTTATAATATCTGTGCTCTTTAGCTTTCTGCTGAAGGAACAGTCCAAATCTTATAGGACCATAAGTCTATTGTAAGATTTAATATTAGTTTTTCAGTTCTGAACCAGTACCTGTCTTTATGCTACAGAAAGTAATTTTAGAAATAGGACCGTGTAGCACTTTAGATTCAATTTGAAAAGGGTTCTTTGGAGTGCATGGAGGCACCAAAACAGCATCTATTACAACTCATGCTCAGGATGTTATGCTATTCTTCCATGGAGCAATAAAGTCAGTCAAAATTAGTTAGCAAGATAAATAACATAAGACACAGAACAAGTGGAGTATTCTTCAGCTCATCAGCATCATCTCCCACCAGGTCAAGATTCTATCAAGAACTCCTCTTGGGGAACTTTCAAGTTTCATACTGACATTCCTTTGACAGAATCAGTTGAGGATTTCCTGACCTACACAGATTTTATCCAGAATCTGATGAAGCAATTCTACTTCCTCAATCAATTTTGGGTTGTTTACTTGTCGTACTCCTGTTATGGATGGATCACTCTTGAATAAATGCTGAGCCATTACAACAACTCAATTCTGCAGGATTGATTATGTGCCATTAAGTCATTTTCACCTCCTAGTGACCAGTAAGGACAAATTACCATGGTCTGCCCCAAGAGATACAGTTGAGTTCCAGGAATCCCTGGAGGAAGTTTCCTTAAACTTGTTTGATCTTTTAATGCCTGGTGGAGACATAGAAAAGCAAAGTCTTCCAGGCATTTGATTATAGTAGCTCCTAAGTATCTCCAATGCTACACCAGAATCTATGCAAACATAATACTCAAAAGAGCTGCATGTCTTGAAGGATGAAGGCAAGTGGTATCATACAATCATAGGGCTGGAAGGATCTTAGAGATCATTTAGTCCAACCCCTGCTCAGTGCAGGATCCACTAGAGCATCTCTGATAGATGACCACCCAGCTTGTTTGAAGACCACAAGAGAAGAATTCATCACTTCATGTGGCACCTGTTCTTGCCCTCTGGGGCAACAGAACGGGTGCCACATAAATAAATCTATCCTTCTTCCATGTGACAATTCTTCAGATATTACTCTTTCTCTTTTGTATGTCAGCCCTTCAGATATTTGAAGATTGCTATCATATCTCCCCTCAGTCATCTTTTGTGCAGGCTAAATCTAACCAGATCCTTTAATTGATCCTCATACAACTTGATTTCCAGACCCTTCACCATCTCAGTAGACCTTCTCTGAACTTACAATATTTCAAAGAGGGTCTGACCGGGGCAAGTAGAGTGGAACAGTTATTTCCCATGATCTCTATGCTCCTGTTGATGCATCCCAAGATAGCATTTGGCTTTTTAACAGCTCCATCACACTGATGGCTCAACACAAGTCAACAAGATACCAAATCCTTTTCATATATACTGCCATGCCAGGTCTCCCCATCCTATACATGTGCTTTTCCTATCCAGATATAGAATTTTACATTTCTTCTTGTTAAATTCCATCATATTTATTATACACCACTGTTCAAACTTGTCTAGATCTTTTTGAATCTTCTCTTTTTCAACTAAAATATTAACTACCCTTCCTAGCTTTATGAGTTGTCTCAATTCCCTCATCCAAGTCACTGAATAAAATGTTGAACTGCACAGAGCATCAGAAGAATCATTAACAACATACTTAAAATCAATTTAAGTAGGATGAACTGAAACTTCCAACTGGCTCAGAATGCAGCAGCGTACGTGGTGAGTGCTGCTTCCAAAAGATGTCACTTCACATTTTCTCTCCAAAGAACATCTATGTCTCAGCAAGCAAACATGATAAGTAGGCCAAAGAAGTAGTGTAACTTGAGGTTAACAGAAAGATGGCCAGGAAATTGATATTGAATGATTCATTACCCCAAGCGCAGATTATTAGCATCTTAGGCACTGAAGGAATTCTGTTGGACTCTAGGAATCTTCATATGTTATATTTAAAGACCCTGGAGAATATGTGAAGTACAGGTTGATTGTGGAGGACAACACTGTTCCAATCTTCAAAATGAAAAAATAAAGAATCTGGAGAACTGTAGTCTAATTAGTCTGGTAGCAATATTTGGAAGATTCCAGCATAAACTATAAAACATTCAAATTATATGTATCCTGACACCAATTCAGTGATTGCTAGGTCAGCATGGATTTGTCATGGCTAATTAGGCTTAAATCAAGCTTTGACCAAATAATATCCTTAGCTGATTGCATAAATATAGTGGTACCTCTAGTTACGAACGCCCCTCCTTACGAATTTTTCGAG